CTGAGCCACCTCTCCAGCCACCTGATCATGTATTCACATGCCAAGTACAGGCTTAAAGAAATAGCGTACTCACAAGTTATTATCCTGGGATATGTAAAAAAAAAAAAAAAAAAAAAAAACAGTATATTACAATGTAAGTATTTTTATACTGTATTTTATATCAATAATCAAGAATCTCCCATAAAAAATTACAATAAATCAAACAGTACAATACTTACAAAGCCTAGGAAACACAGAGATGGAAGATGTGTGCCAGTCATTTGAATGATAGAGAATTTATCTCGTGAGTCTATAACTTAAGAGTGCTGAAGCCCAAATGGATTACGAGGGTCTTTCCTCAACATGTGCTTCATTTACACCAAATCGTAAGGTGTAGTCCAAACTTCACAGATTTAACAAATTAAAAGGTTACAACAAAAGATTTACTAAGACATAGAAAAAGTGGTTCATTTCAATATTTGTTTTCAGTATAAATTAATATCATGATAGAAATAAGTAACCAGAATGCCAAATGCATATGAGTCAGTAGTGACTAGACAAAACTTCATATTTTTCTATACCCAGAACCAAGTTATAAAATCATAGGATCTTATTAATAAAATAGATATGAAAATGCCAGAAAAGCAACTTAAAATTACCATGGAAGGTGACAACAATAAAGTCATTCTTTAATTGGGCTTAGTATACAATGATGGCTATTACAAAATTTGTTTTGTAAAAACATGCCAGTATCAAACAAAAATTGACAAAAAAATACAACCTACATTAATTATTTGAATGACTCCATTTTAAGTACAACAGGAACATTCATTCTTAAAGTTAATAGAAAACATGGTGTAAATTACTTTTAGAATTTACTATTTTGTATTATCACAAAAGCATTAACTTGCAAGATATTATGCAATACAAAGTAGTTTAAGGAAACTGAGTCATGTATTTCAAGATAAATATCACCAATTAACCCTTAAATTAAGACAAAATCGTTAGGAATGATGTCAGCCAATGTTACTCCAATTGTTTCATAATAATCATTATTTTACATACATTTATTATATTAAACAAATTCATTAGCTTAGTAACATATTTACCCTGAATGTAGCAAACAAAAATAGATGGCACATTTTTCTCCTCATGTCTTCAGATTATTCACCTTTATACAAACTGTTTTTAAAAATGAGGATCGCAAATTTTCTTCAAAATTAGTTATTACTGCTGTGCAAGGCAGGCTAACTAATTTTAATGAATCAGGATAATGCTAACTCTCAATCAAATGAGAAGCCTGTATTTAAAACAGGGTACTGTGCTTCCACTGCTAGAACCCATCCCTGCACCATGAATATAGTTACCGTCTACTTGTCATTCACACGGTGTGTTAGCATTACTAACACTATTGGTGGACTTCCAACTAATGACTCCTGATTCAAGTCATTTTCTGATTGTTACTATGATTTACCTTACTTTGTCTGAAAATAAACATTCTGTAAGAACTGTCATGCAGAATTACATGATACAAGAGGAAATTAAGACTTCTGATTGTATCCTCAGCAAACATTTTTATCAAATTAAATTTAATTTTGTATTTTGTCCACTTAATTACTTATAGAAACTTTAGAATATATTTTTAAATATTAATTGAAGGTAAATGAACTTTCTTCCAGCAACAACAAATGGTATAAGCAAGATTTTATATAAATATTGTGTATAGAATATACAATAAGACAAAGTATTTCAATATTTACCCATGAGACACAAATCTATATTTAAGAACATGAAATTATTGTGCCAAGTTGCTGTATCTATTTTTAAAGTCTACTCTCAATTTTAATATATATCTTAAAGAAAGCCCTCCTATAAAAATGGCTTCCGTGTCTGTAGTTATCTTCCTCCACTGCTGGTGGGAATGTAAACTTGTACAACCACTCTGGAAATCAATCTGGCACTTTCTCACACAACTAGGAATAGCGCTTCCTCAAGATCCAGCCATACCACTCCTAGGCATATATCCAAAAGATGCTCAAGTACACAATAAGGACATTTGCTCAACCATGTTTGTAGCAGCTTTATTTGTAATAGCCAGAAGCTGGAAACAGCCCAGATGCCCCTCAGTTGAGAAATGGATACAGAAATTGTGGTACATCTACACATGGAATATTACTCAGCAATGAAAAACAAGGAAATCATGAAATCTGCAGGTAAATGGTGGGACCTGGAAAGGATCATCCTGAGTGAGCTATCCCAGAAGCAGAAGACACACATGGTATATACTCACTCATATACTCACTCATATAGACATATAACATAGGATAAACCTACCTAAATCTGTACATCTAAAGAAACTAATCAAGAGAGAGGACCCTGACTAAAACACTCAATCCCCATCCCGAAAGGCAAAGAGGATGGACATCAGAAGTAGAAGAAAACAGGAAACAACCTAGGAACCTGCCACAGAGGGCCTCTGAAAGGCTCTGCCCTGCAAACTATCAAAGCAGCCGCTGAGACTTATGGCCAACTGTTGGGCAGAGTGCATGGAATCTGATGTAAGAAGTGGGAAATAGTAAGATCTGGAGAGGACAGAAACTCCACAAGGAAAGCAACAGAACCAGAAAATTTGAACACAGGGGTCTTCCCAGAGACTCATACTCCAACCAAGTATCATGCATGGAGATAACCTAGAATCCCTGCACAGATGTAGCCCATGGCAGTTCAGTGTCCAAGTGGGTTACATAGTAATGGGAAGAGGGACTGCCTCTGACATAATCTGATTGGCCTGCTCTTTGATCACCTCCCCCTGAGGGTGGAGCAGCCTTCCCAGGCCACAGAAGATGACAATGTAGCCACTCCTGATGAGATCTGATAGACTAAGATCAGAAGGAAGAACCCGAGGATCTCCCCTATCAGTAGACTTGAGGAGGGGCATGTGTAAAGAAGGGGGAGGGAGGGTGGAATCCGGAGGGGAGGAGGAAGGGGCAAAGTAAATAAAATGTAATTAATTTAAAAAAAAAAGAGACAAAAAAATGACTTCCGCGTTTTCATTTACATAGAAATCTATTTATTTGTTGATGAAAATAGGATAGGGATATTTTTAAACTTTATTTCACAGATAAAAAAATTAGGGCTCAAAGCAGTTAAACAGGAATAATTTGATTTTAAAGCTTATATTTGCTATTGACACACATACACACACACACACACACACACTCACATGCACATACACAAATCCATTTACTCAAGTATCCAGTATTTAGCAGTAAGAAATAGAAAAGTGGATAACATAGCTTAGGGCAGACTTCAGGAGTTTTGAGGTTATTCAACCCATGTGGCTTTTCATATGCCTCACAGATAGTAATTCAAACAAATGAAAAAAAAAAAATCTTTCTACCATACTATTTAAAACACAAAAATTGAGAAAATAAGTATCTTCTTTTTCAAACATAAAACATAATTAAAGATAATTCAGATGAAATTTAGATTAAAAGTAAAAAGTAACTCTGGTTACTGCACATTATGATATTGATAGTTAATATCTAAAGAGTAGAAACAAAAGAGGATTCATGTCATGGATCATGCGGTTTTACCAGGAAAATGCATGTCCAATGAGCTCTAGGAATTTCTACCATAAAGAGAAAGTAGAAAGAAAATAATGTCTGATGACTTTATAGCCTTCCCAAGGCTTAGTAAAGGATCTCTGAGGAACAGAAAGCAAGCTTGTAAGACGATAAGGACAGAACAGGACTTATGCATGTATGGAGTCACAGAGTGTGACGACATGTCAAAGACTTGCAGAAGTTCAAAACAGACAAAATCTTAGCATGAAGAATGGGAAGTGGGCACAAAGTCAAACCCTAACCAAGAAGCTATGTGGATGTAATAACACCTGCTGGAGCTGGGAAAATGAGTTTTCTTCAGCATCGTGATGCTGGCATTATCAACCACATCTTAGTCAAGCCTCATGCTCAGTAATGGACTCACAGGTAGTTTAGAGAACTCTTTTGATCTCAGCACTTGATTCATGTGTGTTTACCCATGCAATTTCATGCTTCCTTAGATAGCCTAGTTGAATAACTTACTCTTGCCCTGTTCAAAGCCTTTGTTCAAAAGAAACCTTAAAAATTACATAAGCAACCTCTGTGGGCCTGAGCTATGCCATCACTGTTTAAAAGGTAAAAAGTTAGTCTAAAAGGATTAGTTTCCTCAGCCATAACAAAGGAGTAGTAGCCACTTCAAAGGTTTGGTAGAACATTAGATGAGATGACATGTGAAAGGATGGACTTGGCACACAAATAACATGGAGCTAGAATACTTCTTACTATTAGTGAACTAAGCTATTCAGAAAACACCTGAAATTATAATTAGGAAAAGCTAAAATAGAAATTTACTAGGCCACAGAGGAAGACAATGCAGCCAGACCTGATGAAACCTGATAAGCTAGGGTCAGATGGAAGAGGAGGAGGACCTCCCCTATCAGTGGACTTGGAGAGGGACATGGGAAGAGATGAAGGAGGGAGGGTAGGATTAGGAGAGGATGAGGGAGGGGACTACAGCAGGGATACAAAGTGAATAAATTGTAATTAATATAAAAATTAAAATTAAAACAAAACAAAACAAAAAAAAAGAAATTTAAAACTTTACAACCCTGCACAGATGTAGCCCATGGCAGCTTAGTCTCTAAGTGGGTTTCCTAGGAAGGGGAACACGGATTGTCTCTGACTCAAACTCTGGGGCTGGCTCTTTGATCACCTCCACCTGAGGAGGAGCAGCCTTATAAGCCACAGAGGAAGACAATGCAGCCAGCCCTGATGAGACCTGATAGGCTAGGGTCAGATGGAAGGGGAGGAAGACCTCCCCTATCAGTGGACTTGGGGAGGGGCATGGGAGAAGAGGGAGGAAGGATGGGATTTGGGAGGGGGTGAGGGAAGGGGCTACAGCTGGAATACAAAGAAAATAAACTGTAATTAATAAAAAATAAATAAATTTAAAAAATAAAAATAAATAAAACTTACAACCCATATATTTGTGGTGCAATTTCTAGTCTGTTCAAGTGCATGTAGAGCTCAATATCATGTTTCTTCAGCAGATGATCTTGGATCTGGTTGACTTTTGTAACAATGGCAACTGTTGGCCCTAAATCCTGTGGTCGAGCAAATGGAATGGGGGTCATCAGAGTTTCTTTACCCTGAAAAAAAGAAAAAGAACATGTATTATTTCAATTTGAAATTAAGTAACATGGAAATTGGTTTTCAATTTAATCACCAAAAGAAGTTTACAGAACCAAAGCTACTTTATCATAACAAAGGCATAAAATATAGAATCATATACTGACAGGCAGTGGGTGTGTTCATAAAACTACTTCCAATATATGTCTTTTAAATATCTTTTACTTTAACTGTTTCCTTTGTGACATTAAATTTTCCAAAAGAATTGGACTGGAGGCAGCGAAGCCCTTCAAGTTGCCCATGGCCAGCTGATCTTGATTAGCCATAGCATATAAATGCAACACTTAGTGGAAGTATATTTCTTATGGCAATGAAAACTGAAGCACTAAATGAAAACTGTTTAATATCTCAAAACTACACAAAATGGGAAAGAACAAAGGAAATCATTTTAGAAAAGCGAGTGTTTTGTCTTTTCTATTCTCAATTTAAATAGCAAAGAAAAGATTTAAAAACTATAAAACAGAAGTACTTAAAGTCTTTGATGAGCCCTACCATTTTACATTTTCATGTACTTCTTAAGTCTGACCTACATTAATCTTCAGCCCTTAAGTTTTATGTCTTTAAGATTGGCATTTGTAGCAGCCTTCCCTGGTGATCCTCTTTTTTCTTTTTTTACTTTTTATCAGTCACAGGTTATTTACTTTGATCCCAGCGTAGTCCCTCCCTCATCTCCCCCATTTATATCTATGTGCTATAGACATATAAACTCACTATTATGTCCTAAGTATTTTCACATTTTAGTATAAAATGATTATATAATGAAATGACTATTCTAGTATATGCTGTTATTTACTTAATTAACTCAAATATACTGAAAAGATCTGTACTATAAGAGTTACCTTTTGACAGTCATGCTCAAAAGTAGAAAACCAAGGTGCAGCAGTTTCCATAAGCTGTGAGAACATTGCACTAAAAATTAGAAAAATAAAATGCTATATTTAATGGTCACTAAAGTACTGATGATATAAAAAAGAAAAAGCAATAGTCTTAGTACTTACTAGGCATCATGTTCCAGATACTCAGGGTTCAAGAGAATTTTCATTTCCTCACTTGAAAAAAAGACAATTCAAACAATCAAAATAAGCAAGTTTTCAGTAACTGTTGTAGATGTAGCTTCTGTTCTAGTTTACATTCATAAGCTAACTTACCACAATGTGCAACTAAAAAGTTAGCCTTTTCAAAGGAGAATTTCAATAACAAACAAAATTATGTTTTTTATAAAGATTAAAAAGAAGTTATTTTCTTCGCTATATCACTATGAAGTAACCATGCAATGGTTTCAGAGAACATGTTAAAAGTGACAATAAATTCTTTGACTAAGTTTCACCTAGAATAATTTATTACTCTATAATAAATCACTATTCATTCAAAACAAAAACCATATAGTTACTGATTTGACATAAAATACCAAAATGGTAGTTTTAAATTAATTTTATTTTTATTAATTAGTTTATTCACTTTGTATCCCCCCCTGTAGTCCCTCCCTCCTCCCCTCCCAATCCCACCCTCCCTTTTCCCCACATATGCCTCTGCCCCAGTCCACTAAAAAGGGAGGTCCTCATCCCCTTCCCTCTGATCCTAGCCTATTAGGAATCATCAGGACTGTCTGCATTGTCTTCCTCTGTGGCCTGGTAAGGCTGCTCCCCCCCTCGGGGGAAGTGATCAAGGAGCACGCCAATCAGTTCATGTCAGAGATAGTCCCTGTCCCCATTACTATGAACCCACTTGAACACTGAACTGCCATGGGCTACCTCTGTGCAGTGGTTCCAAGGCCATCTCCATGAGTGGTCCTTGGCTGGAGCATGAGTTTCAGAAAAGAACCTGTGCCCAGACTGTTTGGATCTGTTGTTCTCCTTGTCGAACTCCTGTCCTCTCCAGGTCTTCTTTCTCCCACTTCTTTCGTGAGATTCCCTGCACTCTGCCCAAAGTTTGGCTCTGAGTCTCAGCATCTGCTTCGATACCCTGCAGGGTAGAGCCTTTCTGAGGCCCTCCATGGAGGGCTTCTGTCCTGTTCCCTGTTTTCTCTCTCCTCTGATGTCCATCCTCTTTGCCTTTGTGAATGGGATTGAGCAACTTAGCCAGATTCCTCCTTCTTGATTAGCTTCCTTAGGTGTATAGATTTTAGTATGTTTATCCTATATTATATGTCTAATATCCTCTTATGAGTATGTACCCTGTGTGTCTTTCTGCTTCTGGGACAGCTCACTCAGGATGATCTTTTCCAGTTCCCACCATTTACCTGAAAATTTCATGACTTCCTTGTTTTTTATCACTGAGTAATATTCCATTGTGTAAATGTACCATAATTTCTGTATCCATTCCTCAACTGAGGGGCATCTGGGCTGTTTCCAACTTCTGGCTATTACAAATAAAGCTGCTATAAACATGGTTGAGCAGATGTCCTTATTGTGTACTTGAGCATTTTTTTGGATATATGCCTAGCAGTGGTATAGCTGGATCTTGAGGAAGCACTATTCTTATTTGTCTGAGAAAGAGCCAGATTGATTTCCAGAGTGGTTGTACAAGATTGCATTCCCACCAGCAGTGAACGAAGGTTCCCCTTTTTCCACATCCTCTCCACCATGTGTTTTTTTCTTGAGTTTTCGATCTTGGCCATTCAGATGGGTTTAAGGTGAAATCTCAGGGTCGTTTTGATTTGTATTTCCCTGATGACACAGAACATATCTTTAAGTGTTCCTCTGCCATTCGATATTCCTCTATTGAGAATTCTTTGCTTAGCTCTGTACCCTATTTTTTAATTGGATTAACTGATTTGTTGGTGTCTAACTTAACTTCTTCATATATACTGGATATTAGCCCTCTGTCAGATAAAGGGTTGGTTAAAGATCCTTTCCCAATCTTTAGGCTGTCATTTCGTTTTGACAACAGTGTCCTTTGCTTCACAGAAGCTTTTTAGTTTCATGAGGTCCCATTTATTGATTGTTGCTCTTAGGAGTCTGTGCTGTTGGTGTTCTGTTCAGGAATTTTTCTCCTGTGCCAATAAGTTCCAGGCTCTTTCTCATTTTTTCTTCTAACAGGTTAATGTGTCTGGTTTCATATTGAGGTCTTTGATCCACTTGTACTTTAGTTTTGTGCAGGGTGATAAGTATGGATCTATTTGCATTTTTCTACATGTAGACATCCAGTTAGATCAGCCATTTGTTGAAGATGCTATCTTTTTTCCATTGTATGGTTTTGGCATCTTTGTCAAAAATCAGGTGTCCATAAATGTGTGGGTTCATTTCTGGGTCTTCTATTTAATTCCATTGATCCACCATTCTGTTTCTATGCCAGTACCATGCAGTTTTTATTACTGTTGCTCTATAGTACAGCTTGAGATCAGGGATGGAGATACCTCCAGAAGATCTTTTATTGTAGAAGATTGTTTTAGCAATTCTGGGTTTCTTGTTATTCCATATGAAGTTGAGAATTTTTCTTTCAAGTTCTGTAAAGAATTATGTTGATAATTTAATGGGAATTGCATTGAATCTGTAGATTGTTTTTGGTAAAATGACCATTCTTACTATGTTAATTCTGCCAAGCTATGAGCATGGGCAATCTTTCCATATTCTGATATGTTCTTCTAATTCTTTCTTCAGATTTGAGGTTTTTTTCATATATGTCTTTCACTTCCTTTGTTAGAGTCACATCAAAGTACTTTATGTTATTTGTGAGACTTCTGGCTTGTTTCCAGATTCTTGCTATTACTAATAAAGCTTATATGAACATAGTTGAGCAAATGTCCTTGTCGTACACTTGAGCACCTTTTGGATATATGCTCAGGAGTGCTACAGCTCTATCTTGAGGAAGTACTATTCGAAATTTTCTGAGAAAGCACCTGATTGATTTCCTAAGTTGTTTAACAAGTTTATATTCCCCTATGATCAACAAAAACTCAAGTGACAATAAATGCTGGAGAGAAAGTGGAGAAAGGGGAATCCTCCTCCAGTCTCAAAAAATTTTGACATTTAAAAGTAACAAAAGATCACAGTGAGGGCTGCAAATACACACAAACTTATGTAATGACTTGCCTGGACTGTGCAGACTCACTGGCATGCAGAAAAGCTTGGTGGTCACAGTGAAGGGTAAATACGATTGGTGCTAGTAGCTCATGCATACCCTGAAACAGCAGGTCAGGAGAAATGAATGGGAAAGATACTATAAGTTCACTAATACATAGGTATCAACTGAATCAAATTTTGTTCTTTTGCTACAGTGCTTTAGATTGAACCCAAGGTTTCATGTGTGTCTAATGACATTCTCAACATGTAAATACTTATTTAACTAATCTCTGCCACAAAAGATGTACATGTTATATTAGAAAATCATAAAAGTGGAATGCTCCAACATGAGTTATATCTACTTTTAGAATTTGATTCTAATTCAACCAGAGCATGTATTCTTTAAAATATAAGGAACAGCTATCTTTTAAGTGACAAAACAAACAATAAATTGGCATAGTAGACAACCTTGCACCTGTCAGTTGCTTTAAGATCTGTACTCATAAATATGAATTTACTTATGCAAATTATAATCATGAGCTACAGTGTAAAGATCTGCACTAAGGGCAATGAAGAACTGTAGACCTAAGAAATTATACCCAATGTTTTCATTATATAATGGCTCCAAATTAGGATGCCTGTAGACTTAGGAAAAGCTGAAGTCAGCGAGCTAGGAATGTTGGATAATAAGAGAAACAGTCTTTAGCAAGCATGACAGAAAATGAAGTTTTCAATATAATTTTAAACATGTTCAATCAGAATCTTGACATTTTTCCATGTACTTCAACAACAAGGTTAAAATGCTTCCTCTTATATTGGCGTTCAACAGTAGATCACACAAATAGGCTTGCACACAAAAATGTTAGCTGTAACTCTCTCTTTAAAATCTTATCTACCATTTATACATTTTTGTGGGAAAATAAGTAGGCTGTTACATTACTGACTAGCCTTCTTAATACTAGAATTTAAAATATTTTTAAGCATAAAGTATCACACTCGAGCACATAAAAACAGATTATATTCTTTGTAGCCACTTAAAGTTAGCAAATTACCACTTCCCTTTTGCTTACCAGATAAGGATGCTCTTTTCTTTTTTAATCAAGAGAAAATAAACTCTAGAAGAAAAGAAAAGAAATCCATAGAAATAGAAAGGAGAGCTCATTTTGCTGGTGGAAAGGAGGAGGCTTACTGTACTATGAAGACACTCATGTGGTCTTCTGATGGTCAAGCAGTAGTGTGCTTGTCTCAGAAAGCCAGTCATTATCACAAAGACACTATGAGAATAGCAGACACCATTAAGCAGATTCCACTTAGCAGCTGTGAAAAGTCTTGAATTCAATCAACTTAAGTTACTTGCTGAGTAATTTATGATTTACTTGTAGTGTGGAACAAACTAATATACACATCTAAATTATTTTACTTAGAATAGCATGGGAAACACTCAAGTTTAAAAGAGAAGGGGAAGGAAGTGCATTGGAAATGATATAAATACAATTGACGTGTGTAAAGTTCTCAAAAAATTTAATTACAAAGAGTCATTATTTACTTAACAATCTGATATAAAAAATTTTGAAGAAACAAAGTAACATGAGAATGAAGTCAGGCAGACAGACTGGCCTGATGCCAAAATAAACACTGAAATTAAAAACTACAATAAATATCTGCATAGTAACCATTTTGCCAATTTTTAATGGTTTGTTCAGAACAATTCCTTAAATTATAACTTCTGTGTAGTGACACCTGTGAAAGCCCTTCATATACATCATCCAGAGAGAACAACTTACTACTGAATATAGAAATCAGCATTCATTATTATAATTTTCATTAATATTTATAATTTTAAAAATCTTGAATCTCACAAATTGTTTTAATAGTGCTTTTTTTTAAACTGCTAGTGAGACTTGACTTAATATCTTTGGTAGTCATTTTTATTTAATAAGAAGCTTATTCTGTTAGTAAACTGTGTGTGTGTGTGTGTGTGTTGTCCTTTTTATCATGCACATATGGTCACGTGTGGACCCCTAAGGGTCAAGTAAGTAATCTATGTTAATTGCTCTTTCATCTTATTCATTGAGGGAGGATCTCTCAGTTAAACTCATGCCTTGAAGACAGGGCTAGTCGTATGAACCAGGCTGTACTGGGGATCCCTAACTATGTATTTCAAGGCTAGGATTACAGGAAGGCCTCCACACCGATCAATCATTGACATGGTTTCTGAAGATCTGAACTTAGGTCTACTTGAGCAACAAATGTTGTAACAACTGAGCCATCTCCATAATAGCTCATCTACTGAAGTGTGTGTGTGTATAACACTTTTTGCCAACTAAAGATATTAAGCCTACTTAATTTTTTTATTAAAAATATTTCTCATGTTCATTTTCTTTCAATTTTGATATACTATATTACACTGAAATTAATATCATTACAATAAACTATCTTTCAGATATTTTTGCTTCTTTCACACCCAACAAGACTTGTCTGAGGTAAAAACTGAGTAAGGAGAGAGCTTTATTTCAGTTATTTCAGCACTCAGTTGATAGGTTCATTTTTATTAGGACAGAGCAATATGATTTATATCTAAATGATTAAACTACTTTATTTAACAAATACTCCATTTCAAATTACATCAGAAGGTAAATATCTAAATTTTCCCAAGAGTTCTGAAATGCTATCTTGTAGGGCTGGAGAGCGATGCCGATGAGGTGGAGTGGGGGAGCAGTCTTTAACAAGAATAAGGTTGAGTGGTTACCAAACCCCAATAATCTTGTCTTGAGACCAAGTTAAGACCATGTCCTCTCTGCCCTGGGTCTGAATGTCCCAGCATAGATGGGCATCAAGGTCCCCGCCTCAGCCACCCCTGAAGAGAACATGTAGCCTGGTAGGCAGGTTTATAGGTTAAACTTCCTCGCTCCATACAAGCTCACATCCAGCAAACACCTGGAATTCCTAGTCATGCAAACAAGGCCTTCCCAGCACCCTGGTCCTACCCAATGATGTACAGGCACTACTCCCTCCCCAAAGCGTTCCAACAATTAAACAAGCTGTTTTAAGGAGGCTGTCTGCAGACCAGGCTCTTTCTTGCTCAGCGCTAACTGAGATTCTGCACTGCATGCAGATAGCCTCTCCTAAGCTTTACTTCTCCCTAGTCTAGCCTGGTGAGTAACAAGACTGGACGCCTGGGGTGGGGTGGGGTGCAGATATGGGGCAGCACCATCTACTTTATTTATTTTTTTAATTTTACTTTTTTTTTCTTATTAGTTACATTTTATTAACTCTGTATCCCAGCCGTGTCCCGCTCCCTCATTCCCTCCCAGTCCCTCCCTCCCTCCCTCATCTTCTCCCTGGCCCTTTCCAAGTCCACTGAAGGGGGGGGACCTCCTCCCCATTCATCCGATCCTGTTTTATCAGGTATCTTCAGGACTGGCTACAAAGCCCTCCTCTGTGGCCTAGCAGGGCTGCTCCTCCCTTGGGGGGTGGGGAGGTCAAAGAGCCAGTCATTGAGTTCCTGTTAGAAATAGTCCTTGTTCCCCTCACTATGGGAAACCAATTGGTTACTGAGCTATCACAGGCTACATCTGAGCAGAGGTTCTAGGTTATATCCATACATGGTCCTTGGTTGAATGTCAGTCTCAGAAAAGACCCTGTGCCCAGATATATTTGGTCCTTGTGGAGCTCCTATCCTTTCCCCATCATACTAACTCCCCTTCTTTCATGTGATTCCCTGTACTCTGCCAAAGGTTTGATCATGAGTCTTTGTATCTGCTTTGAAAACACTGCTAGTTAGAGTCTTTCAGATGCCTTCTGCAGTAGACTCCTATCATACGTTCAATGCACATCCCATCTGTCTTTCTAAACGAGGATTGATCATCTTACCCCATGTCCGCTCTCTTGATTATCTTTTTTAGGTGTATAGATTTCATTAAATTGTATGCTTATCCTATATTTTTTCATTGGCATGCTAGGTAGGTTCTGTCTACTTAATGTAAATGTGGACATTTGGGAAGAGGAACTCTTAAAGTGAGAAGATGTCTCCAAAAGACTGTCTCTAGGCACGTGTGTAGGTCATTTTCTTGATTAATGGTTGACGTGGAAGGGCCCCAACCAGTGATGCAACTGGTGGTCCTGAATTATTGTAAAGCAGGCTAAGTAAGCCATGAAGAACAAGAGAGTAAGCAGCACTCACCCACGGCCTATGCATCAGTTCCTGCCTCCAGGTTTTTGCTTTGACTTTCTATGGATAATGAACCACAAGCCAGAAGATGAAACAAATCCTTTCCTACTCAAGTTAATTTTGCCACAGTGTTTTATCACAGCACAAGAAAATAACAATGACAATTAGTTTTCCATTGGATTGCATATTATTAGCAAGAATTGGATAGTATAAAGACATTACCTTCACATCTACTAATAAACCAAGAAGTAAACAAACTATACAATGAAAAATTTAAAACTCTGAATAACAATACTGAGAAAGACACTAGAAGGTGGAACTACTTCCCATGCAAATTGATTCATAGAACTTATGAAAATAACCATCCTACCAGAAAGAAATTTCAGAATCAATGTAGTTGTAATCAAAACCCTCATGATGTTCTTTACAGACAGTAAAAAAGGTCATAAATTCATATGGCAGCACAAAACACCCTGATAGCCAAAGCAACAAAACTACACATGATCTCTATCTGATATTAGACAACAATTCAAAAAATAAGCAGTGGAGTAAAAAAGCGATTTCAATAAATGGTCCTGGGACAAGTAGATGGCCACACATACAAGAATGAGAGTAGACTAATGTCTATCATCATGCAAAAACAGCAACAACATAATCAACTCTGAATGCATCAAAGAGCAGAAAGAGCACCCTAAAATGCCAAAATTGCATTTTGACAGGCTATTGTGAGCTATAGGGATAAAAAAGGACTTTCTACATAGTACTCTGCTGCTTAGTAATTAAGGCCATTGATTGACAAATGGGACTTCATATAACTAAAACGCTATGGTACAGTAAAGGAAACAATCCATTGAGTGAAAAGGAAGTTCACAGAGAAAGGGTGTTTGCCGGCTATTCATCTGCTAGGGAATAAATGTCTAGAATATAAAGCGTTCAATAAACAGAGTCAAGAAAACAACTGGGCTATGGATCTGAACAGAAAGTTAACAGAAGAAAAAAAAAATCCAAAAGAAATCTTTAAAGGTCTGGGACAGTTTTAGCAATTAGGGACATGAAAATCAAAATTACTTTGAGATTTCTTCTTACCCTAGTCAAAGTGGCTGAGAAAACAACTGCTGGTGGGATTTGAAACTATTACAGCCACTCTGGAAACAGTATGGAGAATTCTCAAACTGCTAGAAGTACATCTACCACAGGACAGGGTGACCTTACTCCTTGGCATATACTCAAAAGACACTTCCTCAACCATTGTCATTGCTGTCCTATTTACAGTAGCCAGGAAATGGAAACAATCTAAGTGCCCTTCAATGGACGAATATAAACATGTGGCACATGTTCACAACAAAAATCTATTGAATTTTAAAGAAAAATAGAATAATGAAATCTGCAGGCAGATGAACAGAACAGGATAGTAAATGAGGCTAAGCCAGACTCAAAAAGACAAATGTTCTTATTTGCAGATCCTAGTTCCAAATGTTTTGACTTAAGACTACAGCCTGTAATGACTAAAGAAGCCAGGAAACTATGTAAGGGGCCTGGTATAGACAGTGTCTAAGGGGGAACAGGGAGAGAGAAAAAGATATAAGAGGAACTAAGTATCATGAAGTAGGAAATGAAAATAAACAGTATGGGGCTTTAACTGGGTATGAGGGATGGGTATGGGGACCGAAGAGGAGAGATAATACTACGGATGTTTGAAAAGACCATAGAGAAACATAATATTTTATAAGCTTATATAGCATGAATATTTTTGTGTGTGTACACACACTCATATATGGAGTTATACTACATTAGTGGTAATGCTTTTCCCAAGGGCCATAGACTATCTATCTAAGAGAAAACTCCAGTGGCAGATATGCAAACTTTCCCTTCAAGTTGTTGTCAGGGGAGTCAAAGAGACTGCATAAAAAGCATCAACCAATTATCATATAATTTGAGCCACAACATTTTAAAAAGTATTATATCATATCTCAAATCAATACAGATATATGGCAATCATTTTTTAAATCATATTATTTTATGTTTAGAAGTGTTATGCGTGTATAGCTGTGCACCAAGTGTGTGCCAGGTATCTATGGAGGCCTGGAGACAGCTGGAATAAAGGACGGTTGTGAGCAGCTATGGTTAACTTTAGCAATTTTCTCAGGTCCTTTAGGAGAGCAGCCAGTGCTCTTAGCTGCTGAGCCATTTCTCTGGCCCCTAAGAGAAACTTTTACAAGTTTAGTTTTTAGTTTTACAAAACCTACAGCAACTTTCTCAAATACCTGGGAGGGAGAAATTATTAGGTTTCTTTTATATTAAGATTTATTTTAATTTTATGCATATGAGTGACTGGCCTACAGAAGCCAGAAAAGGGCACCCGATCTCATGGAATTGGAGTTATAAACAGCTAAGAACTGACCCAGGTCTCCTGAAAGGGCATCAGATGCTCTTAACTTCTGAGACATCTCACCACCCAAGAAGAATTATTAGATTTGTCCTTTATTTTAGTTTAGTAAAAACTTGTTTAACAATCACAAGTGGTTAAAGAACAGACAAGCGCCGGGCTTCAATAGGAAAAAGAAAATAAAAACAAAATAAGATAAATTTTTTTTCAAATGGAAAATTGCTAGAGTTAACCATAGCAACTTTAAAAGAAAAAGATCCACCAAATATAATTACAATTTGACTTGAAAAAACACAGCATTCCTCTTACTATGTGTACTTTGATATTCCTCTGCCCCCACTGCAGCACTGCTGCTTAGTTAAAGCCTTCACCCCTGCAGGCTCTTTAGTAGTCTCTGTACTCAAACCCACGCCCGTGAACATCAAGGTAACGAAGTTTTCCTCAACAGCCTGTAGGCTCACAAAATTGAACCTGTTCTTTTATCTGCCTGTGTTCATTTAGCCCACCAAGCAGTCTTTATTAAAGCTGCGACATCAGGCAGTCAAAGTTCATTAATACCATTTATATAATCTCTGCAATTTCAATTAACTCAGCAAGACATTCTACTACATGATAACAGTCTCATTAATTCAATAAAATCCCATAACTATTAACAATATGGTCGATGTTAAACGGGGTGTCACCTACTCCAAAATAATAGCTTTAACAGCTTGTGATGAAAAGGAAGGCTTTTTCCCTTAAATTTGTAACGGTTAAATATTCAGTCCTTCTAAATCAAGGTATTATTTCTCTGTAAGAAAAAAAAATCAATAGGAATTAACATGTAGAAAAGGTAATTAAATCTTTTAATGTGAGACCCAGGTATAAGATAGCAATACTTTTATATTCAGTAATTGATAGGCTTGTTTTAACTTATCTAGAATGTAATCTTCCATATTCCTATCTAGTCTTCCATACATATATAAGTGGTCTACAAACATCAAATGATGGAGCATGATGTTACATTATTTTTCTTGTGCTAATACTTGTCTCCATTATTAAAGACTTCCTTGGTTTAGTTTTTGTCTTTTGTTGTGTTTTGTTTGTTTTTTTGAGACAGGGTTTCTTCTCTGTATAGGCTTGGCTGTCCTGGAGTCATTCTGTTGCCAGTCACTGCAAACTCACAAAGATCTGCGTGCCTCTGCCTCCCTGAGTGCTAGTATTACAAGTGTGCACCACCGCACCAGGCTGTTTTGTCTTTTTCTAAAGAGAACTGAAGAAAGAGACTGAAGAAGACACTAGAAGATGTAAAGACTCACCCCTATGCTCATAAATTGATGGAACTCATATGTAAAAATTATACCTCCAAAAATAATTTACAGATTTAATACAATCTTTATAAAAAAAAAAGGGGGGGCAGGTTATTTATATAAATAGAAAATAAAATCATAAAATTCATATAAAAGCATAAAAAAAGCTTCAAAGCAATCCTAAGTGAAAAAGCAATGTGAGACAAATTACTGTATTAGATTTTCAGCAGCACTATGGAGTTTCAGTAAATAAAAACAGCATGATATGATACAGAAACATACATGGAGATCAGTGGAACAAAATGCAAGACCCAAACATGAATGCTGTAATCTGGAGCTTTTTCATCCCATTTCTAATCTTTGAGGCACTAAGTGTGAAATAACTATCGCAAGTTTTAATAAGATACATAGCTCAGATTATTGCTGAGAACATTTATTAATTTAAGAAAAATGCTTACACTTTTGCCATTGAAAAACATGCTATTACTTTTCTATTTTTTTCAGCTATTGCTTTAATACAACAAAAACATTTACAGTTGTCTTCATACAAGTTCTATAACTCATTTCTAAATTTACCTGTAGACATCTGAATGAGATGTATATTTTCAATTTTAAATTCTATTTAAAATTCAATTTTAAATTCAATTTTAAATTCTAAACAGTTATTGATAGTGTGCAACTAATATAAACATATGGTATAAAGCTGGGTGTGGTTCAAAAGCCCAGCTTGTGAGAAGCTATATGTTCGATTACTGGAACTTTACAACTAAAAGGAAAATAAATATACACTAGTAATGAACACAGGACTTAATACAACTGTCATTTGGCTTTGCCAATTTAAAAATTTTATAATGTTTATTTCTGGTTAAATATTCCCTTTTCCATAGTTAGTTTCGGTTTCATTAAGCTAGAATTTGGTACTCATCAACCAGATGTAACTCTTTGTTTGTTTGTTTTGTTTTGTTTTTTCAAGACAGGGTTTCTCTGTGTAGCCTTGGCTGTCCTGGACTCATGTTGTAGACCAGACTGTCTTTGAATTCACAGAGATCTTCTGTCTCTGCCAACTGAGTACTGGATTACAGACATGTGCCACCATGCCTGGCTAGATATTACTTTTGATTGTTTTGAATTTAGCTTGGATTCTTGCTTTACATATACTTGGAAAAATAACGTACTAAGGTATATACATCTTTAGTGCAACATAATAAACTTAAACATAAATTTTATATGTGTTTATATATCAAATGATTTACATTTCCAAAAATTAAAATGAACTAGTAATATCTGTTTAGTAATGAAATGACTCAAAAGTCAGGTGTCCAAAGAAACTAACTATAAACTTTGAAAACTTTGCAGAACCTTCCTCAAGTTCTACTATGGGTATTCTTTAGAGGAATCAAACACTTGATTACATTCCACACGATGTCACATATTAACACATGCTGCACTTAAAAACAATATTACACACAACTTTGAAAAGTTTTATTACTAAATTAGCCGCAAAGATTCTACCTCTTTATGAATCCCCAAAGTCTACAGGGAAGATAGAACACCTCAAAGGAGCCAACCTGTCTTCGATGAGACGCAGCATGAGTATCATGTGCATGCTCTTTGCTCTCCACAGACAACAAGCAGTCCTTTAACATTATAATACTGCTCTGGATACAATAAGGGCTGCATTATTGTTCTATCATTTGCCAAGCTGTATCATTGTCAAGCTGTATTCTGAGTCAATGTATACCACCTGTAAGATATTTCCATTACCTGCTTATAAAGCAACTGCTCATTTTCTCTAGCATAACAGAACAGAACATCTGTAAGAATTTTTCTCACATTTTCTTGTTGGAAAAACTGCATTTCAGGAAACCTGAAAAAAAGAAAAAAAAGATGAACACATCCTGAAACTAAGTAGTGGTTCCAGAAATATTCTCAGATTTTCATCTCTAGGAAGTCTGAAGGAATGCAGAATGTTTTACCACTGATCAACTATTCAGCTTACAGTAGTGATAAAAAAAAAAAAAATCATTAAATCCTTCAGGCACATGGCATCCTTTAACAGCTAAATATTTCATTTTTTTCACTTACTTAAATAATTTCATGTAGAGATTACAATGGTTTGCCAGGCACAGTGGTGCACTCTTATAATCCCAGCACTCTAGGAGGCAGTCATGTGGATCTCTGTGAGCAAAAGGTCTACAAAGTGAGTTCAGGACAGCCAAGGCTACACAGCAAACCCCTGTCTTGAAAAAACAAAACAAACAAAAACCTACAATGGTTTTAGAAACAAACTACACACAGCCAACCTATTTGGGGGGTGGGGTGAGAAACTGTTTTGCTCTTAGCCTATTTGTAGAGAGTTATTTGTTTCAGAGTAACAGTCTGGTCTCACTAAGTAGCCCAATCTAGTGTGAAAATGGTGATCCTCCTGCATCAGTTTTCTGAGCACTATAATTAGGGTATACGCCTCCACATCCAGGCACTGTTTACCCTTCTGAAAACAGAATATGCCGTTCTATATAAGTAACTAATGTTTAAATCACTGTCGCTATTTTTCTTGGTACCAGCTTTTCAAATGCAGATCACAACATGACATAACATAACATAAGGTTGGTAAATCTTGATTAAATGTCTCTGCATAAAATATTGTACCGGGTGCTTTAATATACTGTGAAATAAAGTTGTCTATGATGTAATGATGTACAACTAAAAGAACACAATGAACAAACACAATAATGCACATACAATATAAGGGCTGCAAGCATGCCATCTAGAAGCAACTGTCACTGACAAGCGTTAACTGGATTCAGCAACAATTTTGTGAACATCAACATGGAACATTAGTATGAAAGGCAACTAAGTCAGACAGAAGGCTAAGAAGTCAAACAAGACAGTCAGACATGATCACTGGAAGAGAGAAAAGAAAGGAGAGTTACATGAAATAATGGCAGATGGGAGCAAGGCTTTGGTTTAGAAGAAAAGTGGGAAAAGACTGGAAAAAGTACAGATAGTCACTTTAAAACTGAGTAATCCAATTCAGGGTTACTAAAAACAAACAAACAAACAAACAAACAAACAAACAAACAAAAAACAAAACAAAAAAACTACATTCTTTATTGGGAAAGTGATAAAGACTGTGAGCAGGAATAAGCCTGAAAGAAGAGTGTTTACAGGAAGGGGATGGTGCAGTAAGAGGGGAAGAGTGGAGGATTAGAGTTTCACCTACTGAATGTGAAAATGCCTGCAAAGTAGATGGCACTCAGGACTAAAAAATTACTATTATTCTTTGAGTAAACACTACTTGGTTTTGGAATCACCAAATAAGAAAAAATAATTCTGAGAATGGAGAAGAAAACTGCCTAAAGCATGGAGTCACAGGACATTACTACCAGTTCTAGAGCACAGAGGCTTAGCCATTACTACTGCCCAGAGCACAGAGGCTTAGGCATTACTCCTGTTTAGAGCACAAAGGTTTGGGGAATTACTGAAAATGGCAAGCACTCTTGAGTGGAGTCTTTTGGAGAACAGTAAGATCTGAGGTCTCCATATTATCCTAACTTGCTACTTTCTCTTCCTGAGATCTTAGCTGTACTGTGCTTCATACACATCCGGGCTTCGCTCACTGTGAGTGTCAGCAGTTACTCTAAGTCAAGACGATACTTATAGTAGAGCTAAGTTAGGCATCAATGAAGAGTAATTATTCAGATCCTATTTAATCTTATATAATTAAGTCAATTTACTCAGTTTATATGACTTTGCTTAAAATTCCCTTTGATGAGCAGGTGTCCTAGACTAAGGTTTTTAATTTTCTTCCTTAGTAGTAAGGGAACCTATATCTGTGCATGAACCTCACTGTGGCAACCCTCCAAATATCTTAACTGCCCATTTGACTATCAAACGGTAATCAGAAAAAAGGGAAAGTATACAATCAACCAAGTAAACTGTTATTCTTAGAGAAACAGCCATTAAGGGTAGAAGAGAATAATAATTTAGAGTAAGAAAATTTCTGTGCCTTTCGCTAATTACATGACTTAAGTTTATTTTTTTGGTTAAAGTAGGGTGCAGAAGCAAAGTTTGAGTCTGCTGACTCAGTAACTTCATGTTCTCCTTTTTATGTCTGTTACTTGGGAAAGTTCTATGCACACAGACAAAATACTGTTTAGGTGCTACAATACTATGATCATGGAAAAAATCATAAAAACTGTTATACTCACTTTGCCTCATAAGTCTATGAATTATGTATATAGTAAGTGTTTCCCATCTAAATAGGAAAAATTAAATTGTATGCAATTCATGGTTTCAGTTAAAGGCATATCAAACACTTGAGAAATTAAAAATGAGAGAGCGGCAAAAAATAAAAATTGGCTAGATAATTTAAATTGTTCATTTTTAGGAAATATCAATCAAGTGAAAATATGAGTTAGGCAACAGCATGCTACTCAAGAGCACATCATCTATACTTCTATTCTTTAATGTTCAAGTAGCAATCATGACATTTTGTGAATGAAGAAGTATGAATTTGAGAAGTATGATTTATTCTTTGAATTCTATTGAAGCATTAAGTAACTAAAAAAGAAATATGCAGGATAGTTCTGAAAAAGAAACAAAAGTTTGTGCTCATTCATAACTTAAAAGAACTACTATTCACAGAAGTAATAAGCAATGGCCAGTGTAAGTGGGCAGGTAACAGAGCAGAAGTATGAGGTCACTCCATCCCTATGGTTACAAGTACAACTGAGAAATGCACATTTAGGAAAAATTTTATGCTTTAAGAGGCACAGAAGAACAAGTTCAGAATGTTGAGCAATACAGTGGAGCAATAACACATTTACTATAAGAAACACTTACTGTACAGTCAATATGTGTTTATAGGAACCTACGTAAATGAAGAAAAAGCACAGAGAGTTGCACTTCTAGAAATAGTATTATCTTCTGTCATGTGCGGTAAGCTCTTCTAAGCTCCTAAGATTCCAGGCAGTCTCCTTTTGTTTTTAGATACCCATGTGAACTAGTATGGATTTGAGATGGGTAAAGTAGTTTCAAAATCATTTTAGTTGAGTGACCATTAGAAAAGCATATCTCATTTTAAATCATTAAAAGAATAGAACACTGACCAAACTGAACCCAGTTTAGAAATCGGAAAGAAGAAAAATACTACATAACTTAACTCAATAAAAGAAAAGCAATAGTAGCTTCAGAAAAGATGTGATAATGAAAAACATTAACTCTGATTGAGTCAAAACAAAATAACAAGTAAAAAAATAAGAGGGAAAAGAAAATTCAAAATACGATTAAGGAGTAGAGACAAATTTAATTATTATATTAGTGAAAAACTAAAGTTCAAGAAAAGTTACTTTTATATTTGGCCAGAAAATTAAAATAGGATTGGAAAATAATTTTGTATACTACTCAAGTAAATCCATAGGATTAAGCAATTCTCATATTAAATAGCCAGTGTCATCTATGAAAAACACATGAAACCACATTTAGCTACAAAATAACCCAACTAAACAAGATAATCATAAGCAATAAAGTGTTGGGAACATTGGGTATCTCTGGGGAAAGTATTGAATCTGGGACCTTATATAAAATAAAACCAAAAAAACTTCACAAAAACCTTTAAAAATTTTTAAATGCTAAATTTTAATATAATACCCCAAAAAAGAAACTACTAGAAAAGAAAAGTAGGAGAAAGGTTACATTGACATAGACAATGATTGATTTTAGATTTGACACTTAAAGCGCACGCAACAAAATCAAAACTAAAAAAGTTTGACATCACAATAATCAGATTAACAGCAGTAAGCACACGGAATATGTGTGTAAGGCCTAGGGTTCCCTTCTAAAGTACCAAAGAAAATTTACTGATTATGTATGACAAAAGAAACAAGACACTTTAGGGACAACTGATGGAATGGGAGAAAATATGTGAATGCCATGCATTTAATAAAAATTACTCTCACAGACAAAAGGCATGAACAGACATTTCTCTAAAGAAGATACATAGTGACTAACAGACATATGAAATTCTCTGTATTCTACACAATTAAATATCTATAATCAGTGAGATATTAGTGTACATCTGATAAAATAGATACTCATAAAAAGACAAAAATATAAAGTACTATTGAGAATGTACCAAGAATGAAACCCCCGATTACTGTTTGATGGGAATGTAAATCACTACTGCCAATTAAAAAAAATGTATAAAGGATTCTCAAAAATAAAATTTCCACTTCTTGACACTGATTGTAAGATTTGATATATCAAAGAAATGTCTGCACTCCTAGTTCCACATAGAACATTTGCCAATTATCACATCAAACAAAATATATACAAATGGATGAAAGGTTGAGAACAAACATACTATGCATTTACAATGGAATACTTTTCAGCATTAAAACAGGAAAAAATTCTAGTAGTTGTAAAATATACACAGGAAGTGGATAACAGGCTAAGCAAAATAAGCTCTAAAAAGAAAGGCAAAGTCTACATGTTCTTACTTACCTGCGCAATCTAAACTAATGGAGCTCACAGAGCCAGGGAGCTAAGAGCTAGGGATGTAGGTTAGTAGTACACCTGCACTGTTCCCAGCTTTCAAAAAATTAATTTAAAAAACCAGTGTTTGTGTGTGTGTGCGCAGTTATGTGCATATGAGTGCTGGTACCCACAGAGGACAAACACTTGGGATACCCTGGAGCTAAAGTCATAGGCAGCTGTGAGAAACCTGATATGGGTACTGGGAATTGAATTCAGGTCCTCTAAAAGACAAGCTACTGCTCTTGATGGCTAAGACACCTCTCCAGCATCCCGTACTCAAATTCCTAAATTGTATATCTTCATACATCTGAATGTACACTAAAATCAGTT